GATCAAAGCAGAAGACACCCACACATCCCGGATGCAATACCTCAAATATAGGAATTGCTCTTTCTAGAAGCTAATTTATAGGTAATAAATTTTATTAAATGTTTGTATTAGATTAATAACAAAAAAGAAAAAATATAAAATAAAAAAATTTAAAAATAAAACATAAAAAAAAAAAATAAAAAATAATAAGAAAATAAAATAATAATAATAATAATAATAATAATTGAAAACAAAAAAACCTGTTTTAACATGTGCTCTGCCTTCCAATATCCATCTGCTTGTACAGAGCGAAGAACATAAGCTTCCTTGTGTTTAACATGTGGATTCGCCCAGAATTGCTCTTCGGACAGGTGCAGTAACCTGTGACATTGACACATAAAAGCCAAAACCATTATGGAACGTTCCATGTGTTTTGGATGTAAAACATCATCATCTTTTCTGGTCCAAATTTTAAGCTATTCATCATTTGCATAAAAGTGACATTCATCATGCGTCACTTGTACCAGTTCTCTTTCATCAGATTCGAGTTCGGGCTCTATTACTATCTCTAGCATATCACCAACAAAGTCTTTCATATACATCTTGTACCTAAACATTCTTTCTAACCATCCTTTCCTATATGCCACTACATCGGGCCGCTCATGCCCATCATAATACACACCTTTTTTTCTCTCATCATACTTGTACCCCAAAACATGCATATATATTCGACACATTTTTTCTGAGATGGTATTTTTGGCATTTTCTATTTTTGGTAATATCGCTTCTTCAATATGCATCTTTAGAGCCCTAGGAGAGCGGGACTCCGGTGATTGCTACTGTAACCATTCCTGACATCTATTTAAGAAAACTTCATTTTCAAGCAAACCTATGACTTTTTTATGTTTTCCTTGATGGTAAGAAAAAAGTTCACCCGATTTTATATAACTATCTCCCTATTTTCGAATACACCTTGCTGTATAGTCACCCTTATTCCACACTGTTCTTGCAACAAAAAAACTAGCATTCATTTTATCTCGCCCTTCCAATAATAACTGTATATATCGGCTTACACTTAGTAGGCGCAGATAATCGTACATAGGCACATTATTTTTTGATAATTTTGATGATTTTTTTATTAAGCACTGCTGATTAACTTTTTCTAAACGCATACGTAGGATTGTCGTAGTGTCAATGGGTGATGGAGAGTTTTGTAAGATTGTTGATAGTTGTAATATTGATATGTTATTTGATTTTGAAGTTTCAGCATCAAGTAATATATTATTTGATGTTGAAGCTTCAGCATTAAGTAATATATTACTTGACGCTGAAGCTTCAGCATTGATTAATATATTACTTGGTGCCAAAGCCTTATCATTGAGTGGTGTATTACTCAATGCTTTAGCATTGAGTAATGTATTATTTGGTGTTTTATTATTGAAAGATATATCAGCAGTTTGATTTTCCCTCGCGTTTTCTTCCTCTCTTTTCTTTTTATTTTGTCTCCAAAGAGTAGTCCTCGAATTTTTAGTATATACTTTTTTAATTTGTTCATTTATGGTTTCATCTCCCTTACAAGTTCTTAATATGAATTCGTCTTGCACATCAGTTATTTCATGTGTTTCCTCCTCTTGAGCCACAAAGTGAACCTTTTTCTAGGTAAATTGTTTATTTGTTGTTGTCTTTTTAGATATGAGGCATCGCGAATTAATGTAAAACTAACAAATCAACAAACTAAACAAATTTATGCTATTTATAGAAATAATGTTTTGGCAGAACATAATATGATTTGTGTATAGGCAATGAAAAAGATATGTATAATCTATTCTGAGATTTATTATTAAGCAATTTGACTAATTTATCCTTTATATCTTAGGTGAATAGCTTCTATATGTGAGTACCACTAAAAGAAAACTATATGAGTACTTCACAGGTAAAACCTGACGTAAATTAACATTATCACTATGCCGGCCAAAGAATTGTTATATGATAGTATGTATTGAAAACACCAATAAGTGTTCTACTTATTTGTATACGCGTTTCCAATAAGTACTATTATATAACAATTCGTCAGCCGGTATAGTAATAATATTAATTTTTACTTACAGGTCTTCTCTGTGCAGCTCTCATTCATATATTATTAGATTTACAATTTTTTACTTTGAAAACATGCAAACATAGCATTAAGTATCATCAAGCAAAAAACGTGGAATCAATCTTCAAACGAGATAAGGTTTACTAGCTCTGAAGAATTTTTGATCTATTTTACATTTATCTTATTGATATTGATTGAATAGTTATTGCACTAAATTATTGACAGGTGATCACAGCCAACTTTGACTACCTCGACATTAATTTAAATATTTATGTCTAACTTGGAATGATGGAGTGGAAATAAGTAGTTTTATATGTGCTTTTATTAAAATTTTTGTGCTGAAAATTTTTATAACTAGCTGCCCTAGTAAATTTGCGTTTTTAGACC